CACTACCATATTTGCGCACGCGTGTCTTGGCGCGTTTTATTAGCTCAAGCAAGATCTGAATTAAAAGATATGGCGTGGCAGAGCTGAACTGCCAGAATATCATCTCGAATTATGGGGCTACCCCATTTAATGTTTAGGTAATAAAAAGAAAAGAAAAAAAGACACATATAAGGCGACATAAATAAGTTATCTTTCTTAACTGAACCTATAGTAATTCTATTTTGCCTCATCCTGCAGTTTAATTATATGAAGGAGTGAAAGTAAATGAATGATTGGGTGACTACAATGTTATTGAGCATGTCTGGGGCGGGAGCGAAGTAGAGATGAGACTGTCAGACACACAGCAGCGACAGCATGTGACTGCATGGAATTGGTGACCTGGACCACAATTACAGTCAGCGGAAATTCGTTTCACATGCTAAGGCAATACATGCGGGTGTCATATGCATTTGGACAGGAGCTGACGCAGCCAAACAGCAACCCACTCAGCAAAAAGGCCACCTCTTGTAAACATCATTTTGGTAGAAAACTTGACCATTGTTTATCCATTGTTAAAACAATGCTCATTGGATTTGGAACACAAGTAAATTTTCTGTTTTGGAATTTAAGGCTCTGATTTTAATCAACTAAAGTTAATTATAAAGTTTTTCATCTTGTTTGCCTTGCGTTTTATTTCCTTTTGGTGTAGAACGAAGTTGCGAAACTCTACCCTCGAGATTTCCGACCAAAGCGTTGCACCAACCCTACTTAGCTTTGGGGTGATACTGCGGCAGATCCACCCACTTCACCCATCATTCCAAAAAGTCTACTGCTGAAGAACTTTGTTTCTTACCCACATACGTAGTAGCGTGTGGGAGCACCTGCCTTGACCATTGCGGTCACTTTATTTAAGTACATTGTCAGTAGGCTTGTTTCTTATCATTCTGCTTGCCTTTTTGTTTAAGCGACTATTAGAAAATGAATGCCAAAAGTTGTTAATGCCAAGCAGTGGAGATAGCCCACACGCTGATTCCACTTAACAGGAATACACGAACCGTAAGCTTGCAACACCGTTGCATCACCTATTGGTGGCGGCATAGATGAAAATATCGTGACAAACATTAATCCATGTCTTTATTTTAGCCAAGGCGTTGAGCAGGCTACAACGAATGCACCAACTTGTGTAGATTTCTGCGCGTGGTTCTGATGGACCTCACTACACACTTTCACAAGTCGCCAATTCATTGCTCCTCTTCCTGTTTATAGTTACAAACTGCCTTAATAAGCCATTCGTCTGTGATATTAACAACTTTTCAAGGGTAAACATATACTATGGCAATAGCATGACAATGACCGCCTTAAAATACTTACATATGAAATTGACTACTCGACACTTTTATTTTCCATGAAGATCGGATAAGTAGCGCCGGACCGATGGATGATCCCCGGAGTAGCAGGAAGATCTCCTTTGTGAATGGCGAGAGATCACCCAATGCATTGGTCAAAACATGCTTTAATTAAGTATCATGCAAATGATGCTTGGGTGTGCAGCAGAGGCTATGAATATGCACACAAATACTGCAAAAATTTAAGTCACTACTTCTCAAATAGTTGCTAAGTCATGGAACTATTCTCTGTTCCATGAAAAATTTACTGGTCTCATAATATTGCCTTGATCACCGAAAGAAATTCAATCGAATGTTGAGAATGAACTGCAAGAGTGATATAGATCAAGCGAATTCTTCCCTAAATCCACATTTGAGATAGATCATATTAATAGATAATATTAATACTAATAGATATGACACCTCATTAAATAAAAAAGGAGGAAAAATTCAATTTGCAACAGAAGGTTTGCGTTACTCCTTTAAAATCACTTCCATCATTGAAGCCGGTTGATTGGAATACAGGTTAATGGAGGTAGGGAATACTGTCGACTTGAAATTTTACGGCACCTCCTCTGCCCTTTGCGCTTGCCACCTGTAGATTTTGGGGCTTGCGTCTGGAAGTTTACGTACGCCATAAAGCGAAGTGTTTTCGCTGTTCAATTTGAGATAAGTGTTTACAGGAAGCGGAAATATTAAGAGACGCTGTGATACTGAATGCGTTTTCAGTTGATCCCATGTGATCCAGTAAAGTTGTTTACGTCTGCAGACCATCTTAAGTGGCATCATTTAAGAATATATCACTATGTTCCGTTCGTGTGAGGGAAGTACCCATGAAAATCTGACCCACCTTAAGCTGTATTTGATCTGTTATTCTAATTTCTAGCTTTCAAACCTACATTCTAACAGCCTAGCATTCTTCATTGCAAGCTGTTATTACCTAA